ATTGAAATGATGGGTTTTTAATTGAAATCCACTGTTTCAATTTGGGGTTTTATTGTTCTGTCATGTTATGGCAAGAGGTCCAATCCTTTTTTTTTTGTTTTTAGCAGAGCATACCCTTCAGCCAAGGGGTGAGCTGCTGGTGGGCTGAGCAGCCCCAGAGCTCTGGGGGGCCTTGGTCCTTCCCTCCATGGCTGCAAGACTCCCCAGGGAAGACTTGGATTGGGCTGGGCCAGAAGAAGTGATGAGAGGCCCAATCGCTTTTTTTTGCAGAGCCTGCCCACCTCTACCATGGCCAGGGGATGAGCTGACTAACAGCTACAAGGCTTCACTGCAAACTAAACTATATCAGGATGTAGTTTGCAACGATGCAAACTCATCTAAAACCCCCAAAACTGATGCACATGTGATGTGTGATGCCATTAAGCCACACAAATGACATTTTCATTACATATACATCATGACATCATTATGTGTACAAGCGCCCCTAATGTCAAGGACCTTCCTTTTATTTAGCCACTAAAATAAGGAACTTTATTACAGAGATGGTGACGTATAAAGCCCACCAGAAGACACTTGCCACATCCTGGAAGTCAGAATACTTATTCAGTTAAGCAACCAGGCAGTTTAACTACCTAAACATGGATTTGAAACATGGATTATTGGACTTTCTTTTTTAAGTAGAGCAACTGTAAAACTACTTCACAGTTAGGGCGGCTAGGAGCTGGAACCAACTTCCAAGGGAGGTGGTGCTGGCCCCTACCCTGGGGGTCTTTAAGAAGAGGCTGGATACTTACCTGGCTGGACTCATTTGAGTCCCGTTTTTGTTTGGAGGGTTAGTGGGTTTTTTTTGGGTTGTTCTCCCGCCCTGGCGGGGGGTCGGGCTAGAAGATCTATTAGGTCCCTTCCGACCCTGAAACTATGAAACTATGAAACTGAATGCATGTTAGTGCCATTTTCATCTCAACTTGGATAATGCAATCACATGCTTTGCAAGTAAATGATGCTACTGTTATAAACTTATATATTCAAACACAAAAATTAATTCCTTATAGGATAACGGTTGATGAAGTCTGACTTTTAAACATATGCTAATGACAATGACAGCAGATTCATAGATGTTTGGGTCAGAAGGGACCTTAGCAGATCATCGAGTCTGACCCCCTGGTGTGGGTTAGTCAGGCATGATCTACCTGCTATGAATCCGTGCTAACGGTTGGTGGGCTGGTTTCGTTTTTGATCCAATTGGGAGTTTTATCCTGATCTGTGTTTAGGAATACAGAGGCAAAAAACTCATTGAAGACTTCAGCTTTGTCCCTCTTATCTGCCACCAATTGCTCTAGTTTCTCCTATAGGCGTCCTATATTACCCTGTGCCCTCTTTTTGCTCCCTATATACCTGCAGAAGGACTTTTTGTTGTCTTTAAATTTTGTTGCCATCTTAAGTAGCATTGTTGCTTTTGCCTTCCTGGATGCCTCTCTTGAGAAGCTGGATACCTTCAAGTCAGCCGGCCCTGACACTCTTCACCCCAGGGTACTCAAGGAGCTGGCGAGCATCATAGCCCAGCCTCTAGCATGGATCTTTGAAAACTCTTGGCGCTCTGGTGTAGTGCCCGAAGACTGGAAGAAGGCCAATGTGGTGCCTATCTTCAAGAAAGGGAGGAAAGTGGATCCGGCTAACTATAGGCCCATCAGCCTGACTCCTATCCCGGGGAAGATCTTAGAAAAGTTTATTAAAGAGGCCATCCTTAATGGACTGGCCGACGCCAACATCTTAAGGGATAACCAGCACGGGTTTGTTGCGGGTAGGTCTTGCTTGACCAATCTCATTTCCTTCTACGACCAGGTGACCTATCACCTGGACAAGGGAGAAGAGATTGATGTCATATATCTTGACTTCAAAAAAGCCTTCGATCTGGTGTCCCATGATCGCCTCTTGGAGAAACTGGCCAATTGTCGCCTTGGGTCCTCCACGATCCACTGGCTGGAAAATTGGCTCCGGGGTCGGACCCAGAGGGTAGTAATCGATGGAAGTCACTCATCGTGGTGTCCTGTGACCAGTGGGGTCCCCCAAGGCTCTGTCCTTGGACCCATACTGTTCAACATCTTCATTAATGATGTGGACACTGGAGTCAGAAGCGATCAGAACTGGCCAAGTTCGCCGATGACACCAAACTTTGGGGCAAAGCATCCACACCAGAAGACAGGCAGGTTATCCAGGCTGACCTGGACAGGCTCAGCAAGTGGGCGGACGAGAATCTGATGGTGTTCAACGCCGATAAATGCAAGGTTCTCCACCTTGGGAAAAAAAACCCGCAGCATCCTTATAGGCTCGGCAGTGCTATGTTGGCTAGCACTATGGAAGAAAGAGACTTGGGGGTCATCATTGACCACAAGATGAACATGAGCCTGCAATGCGATGCGGCGGCTAGTAAAGCGACCAAAACGCTGGCTTGCATCCATAGATGCTTCTCAAGCAAATCCCGGGACGTCATTCTCCCCCTGTACTCGGCCTTAGTGAGGCCGCAGCTGGAGTACTGTGTCCAGTTTTGGGCTCCACAATTCAAAAAGGATGTGGAGAAGCTTGAGAGAGTCCAGAGAAGAGCCACGCGCATGATCAGAGGTCAGGGAAGCAGACCCTACGATGACAGGCTGAGAGCCCTGGGGCTCTTTAGCCTGAAAAAGCGCAGGCTCAGGGGTGATCTGATGGCCACCTACAAGTTTATCAGGGGTGACCACCAGCATCTGGGGGAACGTTTGTTCACCAGAGCGCCCCAAGGGATGACGAGGTCGAATGGTCACAAACTACTTCAAGACCGTTTCAGGCTGGACATAAGGAAGAACTTCTTTACTGTCCGAGCCCCCAAGGTCTGGAACAGCCTGCCACCGGAGGTGGTTCAAGCGCCTTCATTGAACACCTTCAAGATGAAACTGGATGCTTATCTTGCTGGGATCCTATGACCCCAGCTGACTTCCTGCCCTTTGGGCGGGAGGCTGGACTCGATGATCTTCCGAGGTCCCTTCCAGCCCTGATGTCTATGAAATCTATGAAAGTAGCTACCCCCTGCTTCCACTGTCTATATGCCTCTTTTTTAGCCCTTAGGCTTTCCTGGATTTCCCTGTTCAGCCAAGAGGGTTTCTTGGCCCCTTTACCCCCTTTCCTTTGCAATGGGATTGTCTCCTTCTGCACCCAAAGGATCGCTTCCTTTAGGAACGATCACCCTTCCTGGACTGCCATCTCGCCAATGCTCCTTTTCTTCAATGCCTCCCTAACTAATTTCCTGAGCACACCAAAGTTAGCCTTTCTGAAGTCTACCACTTCTACCCTGCTGGTTATCTTTCCCACCCTACATCAGATGGTGAATTCATTCAAGTGATGGTCACTATCCCCTAGGTTACCTTGTGTCAGTAGATCTCCCACCAGGTCGTCCCCCGGTGCTCATCCTCCTGGTGTCGTGGCCTGTAGTAGACCCCCACTACCAAGTCCCCTTCCCACCGACCCCCTTGCCTTCTGACCCAGATAGTTCAGGCAATTCTAAATCTGTCTTTCCTATTGAAGAAATGGTGTTTGAAGTTTCATAGAAGAAATGAAAACTTAGGACATGTTCAAGCTTGACATTTTTTTTTAATTTCGCTTTAGCTAACCATCATCATCATCACCACCTCAATCAATGCCATACAATGCAATTCAATACAATAGCATGTTTCAAGGCCAAACAAAAGGAAGTTTCAGCACTTGGGAGGTGAGGTGATGAGAGCCAATATGAGCATTTTCGGCTTGCCGATGGGTGAAAGAGGCCATGTCTTTCGGGTGTTGTGTATCATAGAATCATAGAAGTAGGGTCAGAAGGGACCTTGTAGATCTTCAAGTCCGGCCCCCTGCCTGGGCAGGAGGAAAACTGGGCTCAAGTGACCCCAGCCAGGTAGGCATCGAGCCGCTTCTTAAAGCCCCCCAGGGTAGGAGCCAGCGCCACTTCCCTTGGAAGTTGGTTCCAGATCCTAGCCGCCCTGACTGTGAAGTAGTTCTTACGGATGTCTAATCTAAAACTGCTCTCTAACAACTTGTGGCCGTTATTCCTTGTTATCCCAGGGGGCGTTGGGGGAAACAAGGTCTCCTCCAAACCCTTCTGTTCCCCCCTAGTGAGTGTATAGTTTACTACTGCCCCAGTGCAGCACCCTGCGCTTGTCCATATTGAAACGCATCCTGTTTTTGTTAGCCCACCCTTGCAACCTATCCAGGTCTTGCTGCAGTCTTTCCCTCCCTACTAGCATGCCCACCTCACCCCAAATTTTGGTATCATCAGCAAATTTGGACAGGTTGCTTTTCACCCCATCGTCCAAATCACTGATAAAGAAATTGAACAACGCAGGCCCAAGGACCAAGCCCTGGGGGACTCTGCTGCCCAATTCCCCCCCAGGTCAAATATGTCCCATCCACCACCACCCTCTGAGTATGAACCTTCAGTCAATTTGCAGTCCATCTGACTGTGTAGGCATCAATGCCACAGTCGCCTAGTTATTTAATGAGGATGGGGTGGGAGACAGTGTCAAAGGCCTTGCTGAAGTCCAGAAAGTGTAGAAAGGTGCTGTCGCATTTAAGCACAGTCCAGATGTGAGGACCTAGAGAGAGGAGTGATCCAGGCTGAGGTTCACAGGCCTGGTGACAGCCCGGCTGGTGTCACTTTCCACAGTGATGGAGAAAGGAGGGAGTGGGGAAGGCTTTGGGGGTGGGGGTTGCTTGGTGCTTATTTGGTTGTACTCTCCTATGAATTAAATCTTTATCAATATAATGCAACCCCAAGTCCTCCAGGTCTAGGCCTTAATTCCCAAGCTCTCTTTCTTGCTCAGAGAGGAGGGTCTGCAATACTTTCTCCTGGGTCCTGCAGCTGTGTTTTGCTGGTGTCCTGTTTAATTGTGCTACAGAATCTCACTAGAGATTTAATCCTGCTATGGTTACTTGATAGGATGACTGGACCCCAGCCAGGGCATGGCCCATAGGACATCATGTCAGCGGGACTTAGCAACAACATCAGCAGCACCTCAGTGTTCCTCCTGATTGGCTTTCCGGGGCTGGAGCACCTGCACAGCTGGATCTTTGTCCCCTTCTGCAGCCTGTATGCTGTTGCCATTCTGGGAAACTACACCATCCTCTTTGTTATCAAAACTGAGCAGGACCTCCACCAGCCCATGTATTACTTCCTCTCGATGCTAGCCACCACGGACCTGGGTCTGGCCTTGTCCACCCTGCCAACCATGCTGTGTGTCTTTTGGTTCAACTCCAGAGAAATCAGCTTTGATGCCTGTCTTGTCCAGATGTTCTTCATCCATGCCTTCTCTTTCATGGAGTCCTCTGTGCTCCTGGCCATGGCCTTTGACCGCTTTGTGGCCATCTGCAGCCCTCTGAGATATGCCTCCATCTTGACTGGTGAAAGATGTGCAAAAGTCGGACTGGTCATTGTCTGCAGATGCACTTTGCTCTTGTTCCCCTTGATCGGTCTGCTCACGCTCCTCCCGTTCTGTAGGTCCCATGTGCTCTCTCATTCCTACTGTCTGCATCAGGACATCATAAGGCTAGCCTGTACGGATACCACACTCAATAGTATGTATGGCCTAACCTTAGTCCTCCTCATAGTGATACTAGATCCACTGCTCATCGTCCTATCCTACGTTTTGATTCTTAAAGCTGTGCTGAGCATTGCTTCCAAGGCAGAGCGGGCCAAGGCTCTGAACACCTGCGTCTCCCACATCTGCGCTGTCCTGATTTTCTACATCCCCATGGTTGGCTTGTCCATGATACATAGGTTTGGCAAAGATGCTGCCCCTGTAATTCATATCCTCATGGCCAACATCTATCTCTTTGTGCCCCCAGTGCTAAACCCCATCATCTACAGCATTAAAACAAAACAGATTCGCAACAGGGTCCTTAGGCTCTTGTGTCAAAAGAGGGCATCACCTGGGCATCCCCTGTAGTGGGGAAGTTATTGCATGATGTGGTTCCGTACATGTAGGTGTGCATGTGCACATGCATGCATGCTTGTATGAGTGGGAGAGAAAAGTGTAGATAGATAGATAGATAGAGTGCAGACATAATATGCAGACAGGGTTCCTTGGGTGAATTCGAGTTCAAAAACCCTAAGGAAGTTCCTAGCCTGACAAAGGGTTTTTGAACCCGAAAGCTTGCTTAATAACTATTCTCCAACCATTTGTGTTGGTCTAATAAAAGATATCAAATTCACCCAAGGAACCTTGTCTGCCTGGGTCCTTAGACCAACACGGCTACAACCTACACCCCTGCGACATAATATGCATTCATTTTAGAGAAAAGAAATAGAGGAACAATCCCAAGCATAACATCGCCCCCTGCCCCACAATCTCTTTCCTTTCTAAGTCCCAAGAGGTGCATGCTCCTCTCCTCCTCCCTACACACACCTCCCCAAACTCAAGCCCTTCCCTCCTTCCCCCCTTACACACTACTGAGGTCCCTGCAACAGATGTGCAAACAGAAACCCAGACTTCTCTCTACTCACTCACTTTCCCATACACAAGACCCATCTCAGCTTCGCTCTGGCCAAAGGCATTAACCTGACTCTGGGAAGAGAGATGTCTTGGGGCTCAGGATCTGGGTCTTGGAAGCATGAGGTTCCCTTGTCACCTCTGCTGCAGCCTCTATGCATGACCAGCCCTGACTTTCCCCTGCTGGGAAGGCATGCAGTTCAATTCATAAAGAAGTAAGGCTGGAAGTGACCTCAAGAAATCATCAAGTCCACCCAGAGATCCAACCTTCAACCTCAGTACTATTAGTACCACTCCCTACCCAACTTAGCTGATGTCCTTGAGACACCACTTCATGGGCAGACCTAAATTTTTGAAAAGGGGGTGCAGATGGCAAGGTGCATCATCATATATAAACCAAAGCATACTTTTCCCCGGTTAAAAAAGAAAAAAAAACAAACTAGTAGCTTTATGAATATGCTTGGGGCTGTATGATTCAGTTTAAGATTGCAGCAAAAGCAAATGGGATTTCATTGGAAAGAGTTAAAAAAACAATCTGCGGGGCTGTGAAATCGGAGCTTCATGACGGAGCAGCCAATAGACAGCAAAATGGCAGAACAAAGGTGCGCTGGATTCGTGAAACATCAAGACAATTAAAAAGAAGAGAGGATCATTAACAACCTGTGGAATGAAGAGTTTAAATGGATAAAGCAGATGATAATAAGCCACAAAGTTAGGGCACCACCTGACTAGAAATGCTGCTGCTATTGTGAGGCAGTCGGTTTTAAACTTTGGGTGCAACAGGAATCAAAGCTGCGAATGCACTAGTGCACCCCCCCCTCCCACCCCTCCCAGGTGCACCTTTTCACCTGCTTTAATTCCAGAGGGGAGCTGAGCCTGTTCCCTGCACAGTGCTCTGAGCAATAATAAAAAAAACCCCTGCGTTTGCACTGCAACAAGTTTGGTCTTTATTGGAAGGGCTGTGTGCTTGGTGCTGCAGCTTGTAGCTGTGAGGTGCAGCATGTGTTCCTAGCTATTATAAAGTTCTGCAAAGTTCCTACTGTCTCTCTCCAAATCATACCCCGCTACAACTTTTGCTCCAACCTGCAGGTTGTACCACTCCCCACCTTCTCCCAGCTGGGCTGGCTGAACAGTAGCAGAGCTCAACAAGACTGGCAGGATCTATGCGGATCCTCAGGGCTGTCAGGCAAGATAAAGAGCCTGGAAGAAAGGCAGATCATCTCCTTGCTCAGCTCCTTAACTAGGAGAGGGGGCTGCTGCCTGGGTGAGCTTGCTTTAATCACAGTGAAACAGATGTCTTTAAGGCACTTCAAATTCTCAGCTTCTATTTTGGTATCAGCTTCACTTGCAAAAAAAGCTGCACTGTCAATTTTTTTTAATGTATTAAATATTTATCAGAATGTATTTTAAAAGGGTCAGTAAAAGAACTGCAGTCTCTCAAGGGTTTGCTGCAGTTGATAAAAATCAAGCATCTTTGCAAAGAGCTCTCTGGCTTGTTGGACTTCAATGCCTGGGTCTAATTTTTCTTCCTTTACCTCAATTGCACACTGGGACATTTCCATAAAGTTAAATTATAGAAACATAGAAACCGAGGATTGAAAGGGACCTCAGGGGGTCACATCCAGTCCAACCCCCTCCTCCAAGCAGGACTAGCCCCAACTACATCATCCTACCAAGGGCTTTCTCTAGCTGGGCCTTAAAAACCTCCAAGGATAGAGCTCCCACCACCTCTTGTTCCAATGCTTGACTACCCTTCTTGTGAGAAAGATTTTCCTAACATCCAACCTCAGCTTCCCTTGCTGCAGCCTGAGCCCATTGCTCCTTGCTCTGTCATCTGTCCTCACTGAGAGCAGCCCAGCTCCATCCCCTTTGCAACCACCCTGCAGGGAGGTGAAGGCTGCTATTCAATGCCCCTCGGTCTTCTCTTCTGCAGACTAAATCAGCCCATTTCCCTCGGCCTCTCCTCACCAGTCATGTCCCCCAACCCCTGAACCATTTTCATTGCCCTCCATTGGACTCGCTCCAACTTGTCCACATCCTTTCTGCAGTGGGGGGCCCACAGCTGGACACAGGACTCCAGATGTGGCCTCCCCAGTGCTGAATAGAGGGGAAGGGTCACTTCCCTCCATCTGCTGGCAACACTCCTACTACACTGTAAACCCTTCTGGAAGCAATCCTGGGGTGTCTCAGTCACAAAGCACTGCAGTGCAAGTCCTGGAGCTGAGCCAGAGCCCGCTCCCCTCCATAAACCTAAGAGAACTGAAATATAAGTATCGCCTGCTTCCCATCTGAGATGAAGAAGGTTCAGCATCTTCCCCAGGTGCGATAAACTAGTGTCACTCGGAGGTCATTACAATCCTGCAGATTTGCACCAGTTACTGATCCAACAGACAGGTGCTTTAGACATGCTCCTGAACTCTATTACTAGCCAAATTTGAGTTGGGGGTGCTAAGTGCTTTGCATTCATGATGAGTGCCTTCTGTTACCCTGGACTGCAGTGGGAACTGGGCCAGAGAGAGACAATCCAGCAGCTTGTGTTCAGCATGAGGCTTTATGAAAGAAAGAGAGAAGAGGACACTTTCCTTGTCAAATGGTGTAATCCCCCCAGGAAGCAGGTCTCCACTGGGGTCTACTGATCAGCTCACACTCCAGTGGGCGTAAATCAGGAGTGAGAGTGGGGACAGACCTGACAGTGCCACACCAGCCTTTTATACCCAACGAAGCACTGCCCTGGGGACAGGAGAATGGCACAAGCCCAGCACAATAGACAATCCTTGATGTGTTAAAGATGTTGGAAACCTTAAACATAATTACATAGTCAGGATAGATAGATAGATAGATAGATAGATAGATAGATAGATAGATAGATAGATAGATAGATAGATAGATAGATAGATAGATAGATAGATAGATAGATAGATAGATAGATAGATAGATAGATAGATAGATAGATAGATAGATAGATAGATAGATAGATAGATAGATAGATAGATAGATAGATAGATAGATAGATAGATAGATAGATAGATAGATAGATAGATAGATAGATAGATAGATAGATAGATAGATAGATAGATAGATAGATAGATAGATAGATAGATAGATAGATAGATAGATAGATAGATAGATAGATAGATAGATAGATAGATAGATAGATAGAGTGTAGTATTAAATGAAGTGCAGAAGTAGACTTAGAACATAAGCTCTTTTCAGCAAAGCCTATTTTTGTGTTAAAGATCTGGCAGGTCTTGCCTGACCAAATTCATCTCCTTTTATGACCAGGTAACAAGTGCCCTGGACAAGGGAGATGACATGGACATCATTTATCTGGACTTCAAGAAGGCCTTTGAGCTAGTTCCCCATGACGTCCTAATGGCTAAGTGGGAACTGGGGACTTGATCATCATACGGTCCGATGGCTAGGCAGACCCAAAAAGTACTAGATGAAAGGAGCAAATCAACATGGCACAGGGTGACCAGTGGAGTCCCTCAGGGCTCAGTACTTGGGCTGGTACTCTTTAACATCTTCATCAATGATCTGGATTCAGGAGTCAGATGTGAACTGGCCAAGTTCATGGACATTACCAAATTATGGGGGAGGGTGGTCACATCGCAGGACAGGCTGGGGATACAGGCCGACTTGGACACACTCTCAAGGTGGGCCGACCGAATCCTGATGGCCTTCAATGCAGAGAAGTGCAAGGTGCTGCACCTCGGTAGAAAGAGCCCCTAGCATACTTACAGGCTCGGCAGTACTACGCTCGCTAGCACCACGACCGAAAGGGACTTGGGGGTCTTGATTGACCACAAAATGAATGTGAGCCACCAATGTGATGCTGTGGCAGGCAAAGCTAACTAAACCCAGGCGTGCATCCTCCGATGCATCTCAAGCAAAACCAGGGAAGTCATCTTCCCACTTTACTCGGCACTGGTCAGGCTGCAGCTGGAGTGCTGCGTCCAGTATCGGGCCTCCCACTTCAGGAAGGATGTGGAGAAGTTTGAGAGAGTCCAGAGGAGAGCCACGTGCATGATCCATGGCCTGGAGGGAAGGCCATGCAAGGAGATGTTGAGAGGCTTGGGACTCTTCAGTCTGGAGAAGAGAAGGCTCAGGGGGGACTTGGTGGCAGCCACCATTACATAAGAGGGGCACATCTGGACCTGGGAAAACATCTGTTCACCAGGGCTCCCCAAGAGATAACAAGGTCTAATGGCCATAAACTCCAGGAAGGGCAATTTAGACTGAATATTAGAAAAAAGTTATTTATGATGCATGTGTCTGTGCGGGCCGGCTCCCAGTCCCGTCCTCGCCGGGCGCGAGCCGGGCCCGTCC